TTCCAACAATAATTACCAAACCCATAAATGTTACCACTTCATACTCCATTCCTTCCTATTATCTCTCTATTTCCCTTCTTTCTCAATCATGCTTCTTCATCACTTCTTCTTCTTCTTCTTCTTCCTCTTCACTTCCCATCTCCCATCTTCATTCTCTGCTCACTGTACTACAACTACTGCCACAAAAACCTTTCAAAAATGCATGACACTCCCTACTCAACAAGCCTCCATTGCTTGGACCTTTCATGCCCACAACGCCACGCTCGACCTCTGTTTCTTCGGCACCTTCATTTCCCCTTCCGGTTGGGTTGGATGGGGAATCAACCCCAATTCCCCTGAAATGACCGGCACTAGAGCTCTCGTCGCCTTTCCCGATCCAAACTCCGGCCAATTAGTACTCCTCCCTTACATTTTAGATCCTACTGTAAAGCTCCAGAAAACCCCATTGCTTTCTCGTCCCCTCGACATCCACCTCATCTCCTCCTCCGCCACACTCTACGGCGGCAAAATGGCTACCATACACAATGGCGCTTCCGTCCAAATTTACGCCACCTTAAAACTCGTATCCAACAAGACCAAAATCCATCATGTATGGAACAGGGGGCTTTACGTCCAAGGCTACTCCCCAACTATCCATCCCACAACAGCCAACGACCTTTCCTCCATCGCTACTTTTGATGTCATGTCCGGCTCACCTGCAGCCCAACACAGCAACATCAAGATATTGAAGACCGTACATGGAATCATAAACGCCGTTTCATGGGGTATTCTGCTCCCGACCGGAGCCGTCATGGCTCGCTACTTGCGCCACATCCAAGCACTAGGCCCCGCATGGTTCTACGCTCATGCAGGATGCCAACTCTCTGCTTTCATCTTAGGAACTGTGGGGTTCGTCATCGGGATCAGACTAGGTGAAATGTCGCCGGGAGTGATTTACGGGCTGCATAGGAAACTCGGGTTCGCGGCATTTTCGTTGGCGGCGCTACAGACGCTGGCGCTGTTGTTTCGGCCGAAGACAACGAACAAGTTCAGGAAGTACTGGAAATCGTACCACCATTTTGTTGGGTACGCTTGTGTGGTGCTGGGGGTTGTGAATGTGTTTCAGGGATTTGAAGTGATGGGTGCGGGAACATCTTATGCTAAGCTGGGATACAGTTTGTGCCTGTCGACATTGGTTGGTGTTGGGGTGAGTCTGGAGGTGAATTCATGGGTGATTTTTTGTAGGAAATCCAAGGAAGAAAAGATGAGGAGGGAGGGATTGATTGGAAGTTCTGATAAAGGAAGTGGAATTCAGAGTTTATCATGAGAAGGAGATCAATTCTCCAAGATGTGATTGTTTCCTTTCTGGGTCGTAAAACTGGGAGGACGATGGATACTCATCAGTTAGTGAATTTTTGGGGATTCTTTTATGTCGTAGAATATCATTTATATATTTTCATCAAGAAAGAACATCATCTATATATATATATATACACATATTTTCCGTTGCTTGCGATCAAAAGCAAAATATTTCTTCTCTCTGTCTCTATGACCATTAATTATCTTTATTATTACTAGTTTTGTTAATAGACTAAATTATCTAATTAATTAATTAATTATGTTAATAAAAAATAAGTAAATTATCATCTTTTACATGTCATTTCTCTCTATATTAAACTCATCAAAACAAGACAACACTTCTATTCTTAGTTTCATTACAATTTTACCCAGACAATTAAAAATATCTTTTTGTTCTATCATATTAACTTGTAGGATAAATTAATATGTTTGTCACTGAGTTTTGACTAACCTTATAATTTAATAGTAAAATGTCTTTTTTTATAATTTAATTCTCAAATTTTATATTGGTGTTTCAGATAATATTTCTTTTCTAAATTTCATCTTAGTTTACATTTTTCTAAAAAAACTCATGTGTAGTTCAAATTATGACGATTTGTTTAGCTTGAGAGTTTATAGCCGATCAAAATTACATATAACTTAAAAAAAAAAAAATTAAATCTATAAAGTTTTTTCAAAATTAAAAATTTCAATAAACCAAGTTTATAAAACACAAATAAATATCATATCATAATAAAAAAAAAAATTGAACCATTCTCCTCTATTGTGCAGAAAACGTGGTATTCAACTGTTTTACTAACTATTCAAATTCAAAGAAATGTTAGTCTAAAGAAACTTTAAGAAATGCATTGTATAATAATTGTAAAAGATTTATAGATATGTCACTCTTTCTTAACAAAGATTAACTATAACATCCGAGCATTAATGGTAAATGCAAGAAAGATGGTTTTCTCTATGTTATGCTACAAAATTCCAATAGTCAATTCTTTAATGGAAGTATTATTTTATAGGAATGGCTATCTTACGTGGAGTTGAATTAGGTTTTTTCAGTGTTCTCGTTGAAACACGCGGGCGTACTCCTTGCTTCTGGGGACATTGATCCGAAGCTCGAGTACGGTCCGTGCGCCGTTTTTCTTTTCTACCATGACGAATCAATTGATTTAATGTAGGCATCGCTCTTTCCTTTGTCCTTCTCCCCTATTTGAGCCCTATCACTAGTGATTACTCCCGATCCGAAGCACCCCTTTTCCATTCATAGAGAAATCCAATCGTCAAAATTAATAAAAAGGCCATCATGGACCAAAATCCAAACGGATCAATATATAATTCCACAGTATTATTTTATTTACACTCGACGTTTTTGCTACAAATACATTAGTATTATATATAAGAGGTAGATGAGGTTTGTCATGTGGTTGTTGGTGACAGATTATTAATTATTGCCCACCTTCATCTTCCATAAGCATACTTGCTAGAGTTACATGTGTAGATTCAAGATCTTCATAAGTGTTATGGGTATAGCTAGAAGGTTTTATATATAGATATATATGAGGCATCAGCATGCAATAATTAGATGAGGATAAATAAGAAGAAAGATGGTCAGGTTTTGATTGGAATGGCTTTGAGAGGAACAACTTTATGAAGGACAAGTCTAGGTTTTCAGTCATATCCAAGTCTTTTGGGGTCTACCCACCTCCAAGCTTCCAATCAAAGCAGCAAAGAGAAGCCAACATCAAATGAACCATTCTCATATACAGCGGCAAACCAGGACATATTCTTATCCCTGCACCAAATGGAATAAGCTTAATGTCTCCACCTTTCACGTCAATGTCCTGCCCCATGAATGTTTCTGGCTCAAACCCATAAAGAGTTTCCCATATCCCCGAGTCTCTTGCCATTGCCCAAACGTTTACAAGAATCTGTGCATTTTTAGGCTCGGGAGGAAATAAGGGAACTACTTGACCCTCTGCCGCTACCACAAGTTGAGCCATCCCTGTAGCGAGAGGATCCCGAGCCACCCCGATACGACCTTGCTCCTCCACAGTACCAGCCAGCACCACCACAGTATGATCCGGTGCCCCAACTGCATCACCCGGCACCACCACAGTACAATCTGGTGCCCCCACCGTATCATCTAATACCACCGCAAGGCCATCCAATCCATCTTCACCACAGTCTAGTCCCTCTTCCACGGGATCCAGTTCCTCCCATTATGGATCCTGGCCACATTAAGAGATATAAAAGACTGAACTCATCTACTTTTGTAGGGGGATCTTCCTTTGAAGAGGCAGAGTACTGGTTAGCTGAGACAGAAAAAGCCTTCACGACTCTTGGGATGACTCCTGAACAAAAGGTCATACTCGCCACCTAAATGCTGGTGAGAGAGGTAGGCTGTTGGTGGCAACTCAAGTAGGCCACCCTGCCTGTTCCAGTCTCTTGGGTACAATTTTTAGCGGCCTTCAATGCAGAGTATCTTTCAGAGCATCTCCGACATATGAAGAAAATAGAGTTTGCACATCTGGTCTAGGGTGACATGACCGTATCAGAATATACTCAGAAGTTTTTAGAGTTAGGCAGGTATTCCCCCGAGAGCATGATGGATGAAGGTAGGAAGGCGAGAAGGTTCGAATGGGGTCTCCGTCCTGAGATCAGACAACGGTTGTACGTGTTCGAACTTAGTACTTACTCAGCTGTTCTGGCTAAAGCACAGTTAGTGGAGAGGAACCTTCGTATTTTTTCTCCAGCAGTAGGGAACCTCAGGCCCTCGGTTCCACACTGCAGACCAGCACCTACTACACATGTTCAATAGAACAAGAGACCTAGGCCGATGACTCAGGCTCCCCCTCAGGTTCCAGCAACAAGACGCGGTAGGACCTGTCAGCACTATGCTAATGATCATTAGGACCGACCCTACTATCACCTCAACAACACCTGCTACATATGTGGTAGCATCCAACATTATGCAAGGGAGTGCCCGAGGAACCATAACTAGGTCAGACCTCCTATCTAGGATAGAGTTTACAACCTTACTTAGCAGGATGTAGAAGCCAACCCGGACGTAGTACAGGATACGTACATTATCTGTAACCATCTTTCTCATATTTTGATTGATACAAGTGCATCACATTTATTTGTTTCATATATTTTTGCATCAAAATTAAATGTATTACCTGAAAACTTAATTCTATATTGTTTGTGTCTACTCCTTGGAGTAGGACACTACTAAGGGACGTCATATACAGAGCTTGTGTCATAAATATAGTAGATAAAAAATTGAGTGTGGAGTTAATAGAAATTAACACAGGGGACTTTGGTGTAATTTTAGAAATAAATTAGTTAGCGGCTTATCACGCCACCATAGATTATTTTCACAAGAAAGTTGTATTCAACCTTCATAATTAGGAGTCATTTACAAATTAATAAAATTCTTTAACATTTATTTTTCTCATGGCAAATTCTCTTATTATCAAGTACTTTAACCCGGCTGTTTTCTCTAACTAGTAAATTTAAGAAAAAAAAATTATATTTAAGAGATTTCAGTAGTCCGAGACTTTTGATATGTGTTCTTGAATGAACTATCTGAACTGCTAGTGAACAGAGAAGTTGAATTCACCATAGACCTTTAGCTAGATACCCAGC